CAATAGAGCTTCTTTTCTCTTTGAGTTATCTTGGAGTCAAACTAATGGAAATAAAAATCACAGCAACACAATTATTTTTCTTATTGTTACTAGGGCAGCAGCTACAGTATAGTAAGTTTCATCTGTGATTAGCAATGTTTGCACTTCCTGGTTTGATTGTTTTAAACAATACAGTAGGCATGTGTTGGCTGTACTTATTTATCTGGGATCAAGAGGCTGTAACTCATTAAGACTTCCATATTAAAGCATAAGACAATTCAACAATGACTCAGCCATTAGAAGTGAGGTCTTAAGATAGCTTCCATAGGAACGTACCACAACATAAATACAGGAACAGACAGTGAGACACAAGAGGAAGAGAGAAGGAACATCATCATCACCCAAAGCTGTGCTGTGGGAGAGCTCTTCATTCCAATCAGACCTGGAACCTGAGCATGCAGTTATATTTGGAAATTCTGTTTTCCTGTATTAAGGAATCTTCAAGACTAAAATGTCCTTCCTATTTTTGTAAGATAAATTGGGACCCATTCACCTGTGGATGTCCGTCTTTCAGAGAGATAAATTTTGTCCTGTTTAGGATTCATTTTATACCATACAAGGTCTTTCTGTTTGGACTGTTAAAAGTGTGTGTGGTACTCAGCATTTAAACATAGAATTCTGCATTTTTGTCGTCAAAACACAGGAAACCTACTGATTGTACAAGTAATACAGTATCTGTCTACACTTAAACTGTAGCGTATGTTGTCTTTATTGTTAAAAAATATCTGTTTGTCTTATCCATGTTTGGGTCTCATTCTTACTATTATTATCGAGCTGTGAAAGAAAATAAAAGAACACATGTAACGTGTAAACTTTCAGCTGGTGTCAGAACTTGATCTTCATACTTATAATAATCTATTTCATACTTTATATCACCCAAGTTGTAATACTGATTTACTGTATGTATTAAATTACTATAACTGAATTAGATAAGATAGAAAAGTTCAAATAAATTCAGAATGTAAATCATTTCTAAGAATCTATGCAATATTTTAACGGCCTGATTTTTAAAAGGGAAGAACATCTTACCCAAGGTAGATATACAGCCTTCACTGAATGAAATGTCATCAATGGCCAGTGCTTCTGAGGGCTCACTAACATGAAATATTTGCCCATAAATAACAACCTACAAAAGAGGACATGTTAAACCCCATCACTCACAGCTAAATGTATAAGTCAGTTCTGATACACATAGGGTTTACTGTAAAGTACATCGAAAAGGTCTGAAATATTTAGCACTTGATTTTGTTGATTTAGCAGCCCTTTGTAGTGATTTCCCCAAC